CAGGGCGCTCAAAGGGTCATCGAGCAATAGAATTTGCGCTCGACTGTACACTGCTCTAGCTAGGGCGACTCTAGCCTTTTGGCCACCGGATAAACCAATGCCATTCTCGCCAATATTGGACAGATCTCCGTATTTGAAGTTGGCCAGGTCTGGAAGAAGCGCGCATGCTTCTAAGGTCCTCTTGTACCGGGTATCGTCGTACTGAGAATTGAAAAGAATGTTTTCGCGGATGCTCATGCTTTGCAGCCACGGTGTTTGTGCACAATAACCGATGGCTGCGTGTGGTTTCATCAGTTTCCCTTGACGCAGATCAAGCTCGCCCAGAAGAGCCTGTAGCAATGCAGTTTTGCCTGCTGCCACAGGTCCAAATACAACCGTCAACCCGCGGGTGAATGAGACATTAAAATCATTGAGAACTGTCCCCGGGAGACCAGGCCATGAAAAGGAGGCATTATGCAGCTCTAATCGGTCGTCTGTGTACTCTCGATCGTCTGTTTCGTCAATCTTATCGGGCTCGGCTATGAATTCCGAGATCCGTCCTACTGCCACCGAAGCATTCAGCAGGACTGTGATTAACGTGGGTAGCTCTCGAATGTTGCTCTGCAGAAGTGCGAAAAGCTGCAATGCCGGGAAGGCAATGTCAACACGCAGCTCTTTTCCTGCCGCGACTGTATAGGCATAAAACGTGGCCACTGGGAGCAGGCCGCTAACGAATGAGTTGAGAAATCTGATGGCTGAGTTCAGTAAGAAGGTGACGATTCTCAGGTTGAGCTCTTTCTGCCGGGCCGTCATGACACCTTCAAGCCACGTCAGGTGCCAGCCGTACCATCGCAAGTGCCGTATGGCCTCTACATACTGACTGATTTTTTGCAATTTCTCATCGGTGATTTTGCGTCGTTCCTTCTCCCAGCTGATGAGGATGCGCGCGAGGACATAGTTGAAGATCTGTGCTACGAGGACCACTGCCACACCAACAAAGCATGACCATCCGAGCAGCTGCCATATGAGAAATATGGAAAGCAGGAGACCGAGCGGCTTGTTTATCAGAGTTTGAAATTCCCAAAAACGTTGTGCGACTTCGTACACGTCGTTTCGCATCAAGTTGAGGATCTTGCCGATCGATGCGGGCGGTTTCGCCTCGCTGACAGCATGTTTTCTGTTGAAGAATAAGGATCGACCTTTTTGGAATGTCTCGCGCAAGCGGGTAATGAAGGGTTTTGGTGGCTCGTTTTGCCCGCGAACGACCCCTGCAGGTGCCGGTAATGGACCAGCCTCTGCGGTGTCGGAAGCACCAGGGGCGACTTCCACGGTCGACTCCGCCTCAATATCAGCCTGCTGCGGCAAACCACCAAGTATTTTCCGATTCAACGTCTTCTCGTATAACATGGTGATCATCTCGCCACGAGATCGTTCATAACAGCGTCTTCCAAACCAGAGGCTAAACACCCCACTCTGAGCGGCCACGGCTCTGGCCACAAGCATGAGCATCGCGTACATGGTGGCCAGTCGTTTATTAACAGCTATCGTCTCCATGGCCTGCAGAAGCTTTTGGAGGATCATGGGAGCGGAGTAGTTAGCAGCCAATTCAACAATTGCGAGGATTGTGAGGAGCACAAGGTCGATCCAGTTTGCTTTCAGCAATCGTGTGACGACAGTGCCCTTGAGCTCGCGGAAAGTGTCGTGCAAATGTCGGTGCTGGAATTCATAGGCGAGGCCCCAAACATCTTCGTCATGGAGTTGCCTTTTGTTCCCGATCTTTATCAAAGGGGACAACCAGGACACTGTCATCCATTGTAGAAGCGTCAGGTTGTCTTCAGGTGACCGAAATGCACAGGATGGTGTGTTGGAAGGACGACCAATCTCGGCGGAGCTCAAGGCTGGGTCACGCAGCGGCATGTTGACGACAACAACAGTGGCAAAGGCGGCGAGTCCCACGTTGCAGCACATAAGCACCACGTCCCTGCTATTCGGATTCTTGTAGAATTGAGTGGCGACTAAGCTCGACCCCGTGGCTAAAATAGCCACAAAGTCGACAAAGAGGAATATTGACCCGGTTCTGGGGCGCCATGCTGCAACATGGAGACCTGCGGTAACCCAAAGCGCAATGGCGACAAATGACCATGGTACATTGAAGGCCACGACAAGCTGGGTCACAAACCCCATCAATGACAGTATGAAGAGGCATGATGGGCCCCATGGTATCGCAGAACCTTTTGGCTCAATATCCACGACGTCGATATGTTCTTCAATAAAGGGTCTCGGCCATAGTCTGAAATGTTTCGACATTGCGGTTGGCGCACAAGTCCGCTTTTTCTAGGCAACAGATGTCTCAGACGAATGAACTTTGGTGGTAGCCGTAGTGCTGCAATTTCATTTTGCCGGCGTATTATTGAAGGCGGTTCTCTGTCGCCCCACGGAAGTTCCAGATATGATTTGTCTCTCAGTAGGTTTGGACGTGCAAAGTCAAGACAACGGCAACAAGACGGTGTAAGATGCACTTGGGAGAATGTAACAGGTGGCGTTGCCAAGACGCTAACCACAAGTAGACAGAGTAGGGCGCTAGCGTGTCTAGTGGACACAAAGTAGTGGCTAGCCACGTGCTAGCTCACTACTGTCACATTCCCGCCCCTGCTTGACGTGCTCTTTTGGCAAACTGCACAGATGTGTTTCCTTTCGCATCTTTGCGAAGTTGTCGGTGATTTTGCGGTTCACGTGGTAAAGTCAATGTGTAAGTAGTACCAGCGTGTTGTGCGTGTCTCCATTTCAATTTTAACCACGTCGGATTGACAGTCTTTAGAGGAAGAGTCGAGATTTCAGAGGGGAAATTTGTGTACTGGAGAATGCTTGGAACTTCCTACTTGATGTCGGGCCCGGTCTCCAAGGAAGCTCAATGCTCGTAACGTTCGCAGTCACCATCTAATCGATACATGCAATGCCAACATCTGACGGTGAGACTTTGTGTTGCCAGTCGCTCTATGGTAAGAGGCTGTTCCGAGAACCTACGCTGGGATGAGTATGGCGGCTGGAACACATGTCGCCAAATGCCCACCACAGCGCAATGACTTGAGTTCAAACTTGTCACCCTTTTGATATAGTTGCGCCATACGACAACTGATGAAATCCTTCCGCCCATTATTCCAGAACTCATTACATTATCTGTCGAGAGGTGAGGCTTGCTGCAGCTAACTGACCCTTCTAGCCCAACTGCGAAGCGGCCGCAAGTCGCAGTATCTTGACAAAACAGGGGGCCTGAGCTGACTGTACGAGTAGGAGCAGGCAGAATAAGCCAGTGGCATTTGTGGCGCCCCAAGGACAGTCTAGATCTCCACCATTTTCACAATCAAGCTATGATATTGGTGAGACTAACTCCCACTTGGGGTATCGTGTATAATCGTTCATGCAGATGGATTCGAAGATCGATGCGTGCGACACTCGACATCTCAGCTGAAGCTCGATATGTATGTTACCTCCACTACTCCGGAGGAGTGGACCAGTGGATTTTCCCCATTCTTCGATCCACATTCAGGACGCCTCGTGTTGATGAGACCTGGCGACGAACCGACTACTCTCGCCATCATTGAGAACCAACCGCATCGTGGTCGGTCAGATTTTAGTTGGGATACACAAAGAAGGCCTCAATTCGGCCGCATGGTGAGTCACATATTCCACTGGCAGATAATATACCATACAAGGACAAAGTGTGTGTTAGCCCCGTAGATGCGATAGAACCTGGAAACATATATCCAAAGGGCATCTCCTATCAGTGCCTATAAACGGGCGAATCCTCTCTCGTGCTAACAAACTCTGCATGAAATTCGAGTCTTCTCGACCGAAAGGTGCAATTCGTCTCTGAGTTTTATACTGAAATTCTGAAAAGAGATTCCTCCTTCAATCTTTCTACACGGTAGCAGTCCGAGCACGCAAAATGAATGCTGACAAGATACCCCTTGTTGTCGAATCGTCCTTAACCAACGGAGGTGAACGAACCGTTGTCGACTCCGACCTAGCTCCTGGCGCTAGTGCTCCATCACATTATCACACCGACTTCACCGAGACATTCACTCTGGTCAGCGGCTCAATGACCGTTTGGACTTCAGAAGATTTGGACGAGGCCAACTTCAGACCAATCGAGCTCGAGGTGGGAAAAGCGGTCCCAGTTCCTCCAAACACGCTGCATAAATTTCTGGTCAACGAACAGTCCCGCGTCCACGTCGTCATGAGTCCCGGCACCCTAGGTTTCGAGAGAACGATTCTCATCATGCGCGGCACACAGGCAGATGGCACGTATACTCAGTTCAGCTCACCGGAGACCGAGAGTGGCGCAACATTCTATTGCGTACTCGGAGACCTCACCAACACCATTTTTGTTGGAGAGGCAAAGGCGCAGCTTGACGCGTTACTCGCCGCGAAAGGTCTAGAGGTCGAGGCTATAAAACAGGAGCTGATTAGCAAATATGCGTCTGATGAGCACTTGAAAAAGGCTGCAGGAATTTGAGTGCTGGCATGGAAAGAGGATGCTGTTTCAGATCTATTGGATACTGCACGTTTTCTCCTTATATAGGGTCTAGAGATGCACATCGCCGCTAGCAATGCTCAGGAGAGAGACCGTTCTACCCATTATGTCAGAGTAGTCCTGGGAAAGCAAGTCCATCTATCCCATGTGAAGCCATTTGAGGTGTATTGGGACAAGAAAGACCCACTCCAGTCTTCGCCCATACGGGTCATACCCAGTCGGACAGCAGGCAAGACTCCGCACAACTGACGTAAACCTGGTCGTGACTAGAGAGGAACTCCGTTTGTCGTTTCATTTTGCGGGGAAGGAATGGATGATTCTTACATTCGACGTGTGGGTATGAACGTCACAATGACCGCAGAGATTTTTGTCGCCCACTATAAGAGATTAGCGGAAGAAAGGTATTCGAGCTCATCTGCCTTCCTCAAAACTGCTTGCAGGCTCTGCATATATTTCGATCTCTACACCTATTAACTAATAGAAGAAGATGTCTAGTCACAGATCCGCGCCACTGCTGCCTCAACATTTCCAGCCACCTTGACCACTTGAACATGGATAAGAACTCCACACGACTGCTCTGGCCCTGGGCGCCGAAGGCAAAGGGCTGCTCGCCGCAGACGAGTCCACAGGGAGTATCAAGAAGCGGCTGGAGAAGATGAAAAAGGAGAATGCCGAAGACGATCGGCGTGAGTGGCGAGATGTCTTGTTCACAGCCGAAGGCCCGTTTGAGAAGTACATTTCTGGTATTTTACCTTCGAAGAAACCCTCATGAAACATGACGCCCAGCTGGATTCCCAGTATAAGGGAAAATCATTTGTCAGCATCATCAAGGAACGGGGGACCAAATCCCGGGTATAAAGGTCGACAATGGCACTGTGACTCTTCCACGGACGGTGCCAGAGGAAACAACAACCGAGGGATTGTATGGTCTGCTCGAAAGGTGCAAGCAATACTACGAGCGAGGTGCTCGCTTCAGTAAGTGGCGTTGTACCTATATGGTCTCGCCACGGACGCCGTCACATCTTGCGATTATGGACAATGCGGAGGTGCTGGCGAGGTATGCTGCCATCTCGCAACAGGCTAGCCTTGTCCCAATTGTTGAACCTGAAGTGTTAATGACACATGACCAACCCTTGGAGCATTTGATGGAGGCTAACATTGCCTCCTACTCGGCGTTATTGAGCGGCTGTCTTTGCACAAGGTCGACTTTGCTGGGCTGGTCCTGAAGGCTTCGGTGGTTGTCCCTGGCGACATGTCTGGACAAAAAGCAAGTCCCGAGCAGGTTGCGGAGGCTGCAGTGCATGTTCTCAGCAAGACTGTGCCTCAACTTGTACCAACCATTGCCTTCCTGTCTGGTGGACTCAGCGATTCTGATTCGATCTCGTTCCTCAACGCCATCAACAAAAGGAAACAATCGAACCCAGCGGCAGCGCTTTGGGCCTTGACCTTCTCTTTCGGGAGAGCATTACAAGGCGTCGCTATGCAAGCTTGGGCAGATGGAAAGCTGAAAGAAAGTCAATCGATGTGGGTTGACCATAATGCTAGAGCCCATCAATGTTGGATCCTCATGTTTATAAGACACTACAACTTTGATGGCACCCAAACAGGGGCTCTTTTCTCCTTGAACGCCTTCAAGCCCTCTTGAATGTTCTCCCCTTTTTGAAGTTCTGCCCATTCCTTTCTTCCAGTTATCGCAGTCGCTTCCACGACACTTGCAGTCTCCCACCCCTGCCTCAAGCCGGCTCTTGTGCAGATGATCGAATCAGGACTGTTCTCTGCAATGACCTTTGCATATTGTAGTGCCTCGTCAATGACTTCGTGTTGCGGAACCACCTTGTTGACGAAACCCCACTCCATGGCTTTCTGAGCAGAGAAGTAATTTCCTGTCAAAGCCATTTCGCTGGCTCTCTGCAAGCCTGCAGTCCGGATCAGCCGAGGAAGAACACCAGCGTACGCTGCCACGCCTCGCTTCACCTCGACCAAGCCAAACACGGCCGTATCTGCGGCAACCACCAGGTCGCAATTCATGACGGTCTCGCAGCCACCTCCCAACGCCATGCCGTTGACGGCAGCAATCACCGGTTTCTTTCCAAGACGGTTGGACAGTGGGATAGCCCCAGGCACATCGCCAGGGCCCGCGCCGGGCTTTCCAGCTGCAGCAGATGCCTTTCTTTGCCATTCCTTCAGATCAGCGCCAGTCGAAAATGCCTTTTTGCCAGCTCCAGTAAGTACGGCCACCGACAGTGAAGGTTCCTCGTCAAACCAGCGGAAGACATGGGTCATTTCAACGACATCAGCCGCAGTGGTGCAGTTTAGCTTTTCAGGTCGTGACATGGTGATAAGAACCACCCTCGGGGCGGGAAAGGAGAGCTTTGCGAATTTTGTCGCGGGGGGGGAGCGAGCAAATGCCATCCTGGAGGTATGGAGAGTGTTGGAACCCAGACTGTCGCGGGTGGTTTATGGTGACAGGACGGGGGATACCAGTGAAGATGTAGCAGGAAGCCCAAAATATCCGTGATAGTGAAATGCTTTGCCTGGGATTTGGTCGTCTTTATTGATCAGGAAGAAGGAAAAGAAGGGGTCCTTGGTAAGTAGGAGTAGGAGAAGATTAGGGAGGCACATGAGGGTTTGTATATTGCCGAGGTATACAAACCTGGGGTCAAATGCTGATCTCTTGATTAGATGTGCCTGACAAGCTGGCGAGCCGATGTCAAAACAATAAGTGGAACAGTCTGACGAGAAATAGTATGGGTAGCGATTCACTAGTAACTTAAAGACAACTATCATTAGGTATAAAGGCACCCCTTGATCTGGCGCCCGCCTCATTCGCTGTTAGGTGACGACCTAGATTCCGAGAGGGCGGTCTACTTTCTGTCAGACTGCCAATTTCTCCTACTAGAGGCTTGGTAGTTTTCGGGAAAACCCCAAGCTTGGGGCCCTAAAATGCTTCCTATCTGTTCGAGTTCTGCCCCTTCAATGCTCTCTACTGTTGGCAAAATAGGAGAGAATAGGGTGGAAATATCAAACCTCATCTAGACATAACGGGCTAAGGATGGACTCTGGGATAGTAGATCCCGATATAGGTAGTTGCCTAGCATGTGGTTAGAAAACCGTCGTCTCCTTGATAATACTAATCGTGTCTCTAGGACTCTAATTGGACCTCGAGTCCTGAGGTCTTTCGTACAACAATGTCGTGATTGCGACGACCTCCGCATTTGTCAGCGTCTCAGCGATTCTCTTTGTTTGAATACATATAATATACATGATACATGATAAGCAATCATTGACTACTAACACTGACAAACATCGAGAAAATGGCTGATCATGACAACATTGCTGTCCGGGGCAAGGACGTGCCTCCCCAACTCCATCTGACAGCTTTCATGCGTCCTGTTTCGCTTCACACTGGTGCATGGCGATATCCTGGAGCATACCCGGACGCCAACTTCAACCTTACACACCTCAAATCCTTTATCAAGAAACTGGAAGATGCCAAGTTCGACGCCTTCTTCATGGCCGACCACCTTGCCGTGCTGAACATGCCAATCGAAGCCCTGAAGCGAAGCCACACTGTTACATCATTCGAGCCATTTACTCTTCTCTCGGCTCTCTCTCAAGTCACAGCCAAGATCGGACTAGCAGCAACAGCATCAACGACATATGACGAGCCGTATCACATTGCACGTCGCTTCGCGTCTCTTGACCATATCAGCAACGGTCGGGCCGCGTGGAATATTGTTACCACTGGAAACCCAGAATCCGCCAAAAACTTCGGGCGTGATGAGCACATGGATCATTCGGATCGTTACAAGCGTGCACGTGAATTCTACGATGTTGTCACCGGTCTATGGGATAGCTTTGCAGATGATGCATTCGTGCGCGATGTCGAGTCCGGCACGTATGTCGACCCTGACAAGATTCACATCTTGAACCACGTAGGAGACGAACTGAAAGTCAGGGGGCCCCTCAACATTGCACGACCCGTTCAAGGCTGGCCTGTCATTGTGCAGGCCGGTCAATCCGAGCCTGGAAAACAGCTTGCTGGGGAAACCGCCGAAGCGGTCTTCTGCTCCCCAAAGGACATTGAATCTGCGAAAGCACTATATGCGGACATCAAAGGGCGTGCCGTTGCTGCCGGCCGCAGTCGCGATCATATCAAGATCCTGCCTGCCGCCTTCATTGTGGTAGGCGACAGCTTCCAGGATGCACAGGAGAAGCGACTCAAACTCGACAGCTTGGTACATTACGACAGCGCCATTGCTTCATTGTCCATTGCACTTGGCACAGATGCATCCAAATTCGACCCGGACGGGCCACTCCCAACTGACATACCCGAGACCAATGCGAGCAAGACTAGCCGTGCGGGAGTCTTGAAGGTCGCCGAGGAGGAAGGGTTGACCGTGCGCCAGCTCGCACAGCGATATGGAGGATATTCAGGACTTGCATTTGTTGGAACGCCTGAGAGCATTGCAGATGGCATGCAGCAGTGGTTGAACGAAGAGGCATGTGACGGCTTCACGGTTGTACTGCCATTTTTACCCCAAGGTCTGGACGACGTGACCCAACGGCTGGTGCCAGAGTTGCAGCGGCGTGGCATCTTTCGAAAGGACTATGAAGGGACCACGCTGCGGGAGCATCTTGGTCTTCCGCGGCCAAGGAATCGTTTCTTTGCCTGATCTGAGAATGACGTGCTCGCGGGGGAAAATGGCACAATCGTGATAGGAGATACTGCTGACGAGTTGCCGAGGCGTTCATCTCGCCGCATTTGAAGAATCATGATTGGCGGAATGAGTACCAATCTTGTGTAGATCAATAATCACCTCGTACCTCGTTCGAGTCTGGGGAGCTCTATACCGGGGCTAGCTACATTTGTGAATGAAAATAAAGTATCTCAGGACGGCATGCTGAATGTATCAGTAAATGAAGAGCTTTGGGAACGGCTCCTGCAGAATCAAACGAAAATTGAGGACAGTGGTGTCAGTGCCCGCTACCAATGTATGCGTCGACCGAGTCAGTCACTGGCAACTCTTGTACTCCGGCCATCGCCGTGAGGAAGCCTACCCCAGGAGTGACTGGGTGAAACTCTTGCAAAGCATTGGTTTCCGGCCTGGAAGCTTATTGTTCGGCTGCCACCGGGAATGTTCAATACCCACAATATCCAAGAAATCAACTCGGTGATCGCCAGAAACGTGGTTCTGTCATCTCTGGGGGAGCCATGGGGAACTCTCTGGGGAACGTCGGCCGGGGAATAATGCAAGACCAACAAATTCCTTCAGGGGTTCGCCGAAAGTGCTCCAGCATCTTGTTATCACACTGAGATATATGGATACAAGCTATAAAAACATCCTTCTCTGGTACATCGGCCCCATGTCCTGCCCTGTCCTGTGCTGTCTTTCTTTCGAACAATTGCCCCCCTGAGTTGGTACTTTGCTCAACTTCTCCTTGACAACTCGCAGTTTGCGTCCAATACTCCTTACAGCTGCGATCTGCACCATGGCTGCCCCTGACCACGGAGACCATGGTGTCGCCAACCTCGAACATGGACGTCGCCACTTTGGAGCCAAGTTGGTATTCATCGTCGTCTTCATCTGCTTCGGTTCTGCCAGCTTTGGCTTTTCCAATTCCGTTATTGGTTCAACCCTTGGACAGCCGTCGTTTTTGCATGCCATGGGCCTGGATACGGCCAAGAATGCAAATGATCTCGTTGCGGCTGTCCTGGCTGTTTTCTTCGTCGGGGGCGTCTTCGGGGCCTTTACGCACGCCTTGCTTGCAGACCGCTATGGTCGGAAGGTGTCTGCTTCGGTCGCATCGGTTATCATGATCGTCGCCTCTGCAGTTTGCACGGGGGCGAATAGCATGGGCTTGTACATTGCATTCCGTTTCTTCTGCGGTTGGGCGTGAGTTCTGGTCCAAGCTACAGTTCCGTCTTATCCATGACTAACGTCTGTCATGCAGAGCATATCAATTTCTTTGCACCATCCCGACGTGGGTTACTGAGATCACGCCACCTTCTCACCGCGGTGTTCTTGGGAACATTATCGCGGTCAACATCGGGGTTGGCTATGTCATTGCTTCTTTTGGCGGGGTCGGTTTCTACTTTGTGACGGGCGATAGTCAATGGCGCGGCATCACCGGGCTACAGATGCTCTTTCCCAGCCTCCTGCTCGGTGCCATGTATTGGCTTCCTGAGTCGCCCCGATACCTGATCGCCAAAGACCGACACGAGGAGGCATTGTCTATCTTGAAAACGCTGCACTCCAGTGCATCCCAGTCGGATCACTTTGCTGAGATGGAGTTTTACCAGATTCGGAAGCAAATCGAATGGGACAATGGGCACAAAATGACATATGTTCAGATCTTCAAGCACCCGACCATGAGGAAGCGAGCTTTCATCACCATCTGCCTGACATGGTGCATGGTGGGCTCTGGGGTCCTCGTCATCAACAGTAAGTCAATTTGAAGCGCCGATCCCTTTTGAACACGGACAACTGATGTCTTTTGTTCTAGACTATGGCACTGCCATCTATTCTGCTCTTGGCTACAACGAACTCGACACTCTTCTCTTCCTGGGCGGCTGGGTCACCATTGTCATGCTTGCTCCCCTGCTTTCCATGACCTTCGTGGACAAAGTAAGCCGAACTTGGCTTTTGGCAAGCGGATTCTTCCTCTGCATGTGCACCTTGATCGTCGAGGCAGCTCTGCAGGCGACTTATCTGGGGACCACCAACTCTTCTGGCCTGGCCGGAGGCGTGGCCATGACATACCTCTACGTCTTCTTCTATGTGGTTTGCCTGGACGGCCCCATGTTCTTCTACATTGGAGAAATCTGGCCCTCGCAAGTGCGTGTCCAAGGATTTGCTATCGGTATCGCTGCCCAGAATCTTTCCAACATTGTGTGGAGTTCAGCCGCCCCTGCGGCATTTGCCAACATTGGCTGGAAGTACTATGTCTTTTTCATTCTTCAGGCATTCATCGGAGGCGTGGCCGTTCTGCTGTACTTCCCCAACACATTGAAGAAGCCCTTGGAGGAGATTGCTGCCCTTTTCGGCGATGTTGAGGAGGTCGTTGTATTCCAGGGTGAACTGGACGAATCACGCTTCGAAAACGGGCTCGGAGAGAAAGATTTGGGCAGCAATGCCGCACAGGTTGAGAGTGTAGAGACCGAGAAAAAGTGAAGTCAGGGCAAGCAATGGGGAGGCATGTGAGACATCAACTTGTTGGACCACGTCCATGTATCCAGGTATTCTCTTTAGACCCGAGTTGGTATTTTGCTACTAGTTCCTGATGGATGTAATTGGGTCCGAGGCCCGAGGATATATCCTCAGAAACGTGTTGAATCAAGCTTGCGGGGCCTTTCTGATATCCCCAGCAGTCGCAAGAGGTATGGACAGGACAATGTGTTAGATTACAGGAAAACTATAAAGGTATTTCGGTGACAGCCGAGAACTAGGTCGCGAACCTTGCAGCCACGTTTCCCCTGTTTCGGCAAGTAGGTCCGAAGTAGAAGTTTAGTCTTGTTCGATAGTCTCGCGTTGTTGGCCTGGGGAAATTGAAATCTTGGTTGTCGGGTGGTCGTCAGCAGTAAAGGGTAGAGCGGACAACTACTCGAGCACCTCTAGGCTCGCAGTTGAGATTCTACCACTTTATTAGCACCGTTTTTGACTGAAAAAACATTCATACCGACACCCTGCAAGATGTCTGTTCCAGAGTATCGGGACAAAGGACCCTTGAAGGTCTCGGAAAGCTTGAGCCTTGAGCGTCTCACTGGGAAATCGGTGTTGATTACTGGAGGTGAGGACTTGATTTGAGTGGAAACAACGTCCAATTCTGAAATCGAAAACAAGGTGCGGGTGGACTTGGGAAGGCATATGCCACAGCATTCATTCAATCTGGGTGAGACCACAGTCCCTCTGGCCTCTTCGGCGTCGATGGGAGGGAGGTTGCTTACAAGACGATCCAGTTCCTATGTCACTATTGCCGATGTGAATGAGAAGCTTGGGGCAGAGACTGTGGCCGAGTTGGGAGAGTATGACCATGTCGATGCCCTCTTAGACTTCTGAGATATTAACATACAGGAAAACCCAGAAATTCTCAATTCATCAAATGCGATGTTACCAACTGGGATGATCAGGTTCGTGTCTTTGAAGCCGCGTCCAAGAATTCACCACACAAAAGCTGTGACATTGTCATCGCAAATGCGGGAATTGTCGGGCACGATGATATATTTACCCTCCAAGGCGAGTATTGAATTCAAGGCCTCGCTGGGCAACGCTGTCCTTATTGACTGTTGACCAGAACCTGCTGGTCCTCCCGTCAAGCCCAATCTGAAGACCATGGAGATCAACTTGATGGGATTGCTCTACACCGTTAAGCTGGCTCTTCACTACTTTCGACGTCAACCGGTCGACAGCGATAGGGACCGATGTCTCATACTCAAGTCTAGCCTGGCAGGATATGTTGACCTTCCAGGCTCAATCCAGTATAATTCATCCAAGTTTGGTGTGCGAGGAGTCATGAGGAGTCTTCGCCGTACCTCGTGGAAGGAGAATATCCGGGTTAATCTGGTTGCTCCATGGTGAGACGTTGTCACGACTGATGATTGCTCCAACGTCGTCTTTATACAGAGTAGCTAACGGAACCCAATTGTTACTCACAGGTACATCCGCACGCCAATTCTGTCTCAAAAGGTTCAAGATTTCCTCGATGGGAAAGGAGTTGGGTTTGCTCTGGTTGAAGACTGCTGTCGAGCAATGTTGTTCATTGCATCGGATCCCACTATCAACGGTGAGTCAAAATCTTATTGTTGTGTCTGAAGCCAGACGTTGAATCTCTACAGGTCGGGGTATAGGCGTGGTATCTCGCCAGCACGCACAGGAAGGGTATATGGACCTGGATCTTGATGACTATAAGGCAGGTCTCTATTCGGAATGGCAACAAGTAGTGCTAGACACTGCTGGAATCCTGGTGGTAAGTCTTTTAACGCTGCTCGTATCTCTCTGCTCGATTGATCTGAGGCTCACTATGAATGTGACAGCAATAAGTGGAGATCGCGGATTTATGTTTGCACCCAGTTGTCTTCCACTACACGGGTCCCCGACTTGGTCATTTGTAGGATTGTCCCTCCCGTATATCTTTCTTCCACTATAAGATCGACCATTGCTGCTGCCACTTCGTCCGGTGTATTGGCCCTTCCCGCATCGTAATTGAATTGCTTCAACTTGTCGTCGTCCTCTGTCCACATTGGAGTGTGAACCTTACTAGCCACATATGATATTAGCAACCTGTAAAGACGGAGGTCCATACTCCATTGGCTTACCCGGGGGCAACGGCTACGACCTTGACACCATTCATCGACTGGGCATTCTTCATGGATCGTACGAAGCCGGTAATTGCATGTTTTGTTGCACAGTATAGGGCGACGGCATACTCCCCTCGAAGCCCAGCAACTGAACCAGTGATGAGAACCACGCCTTTTTTCTTCTTATTGCCCAACTCTCTTATCGCTATCCTCGTGAGCTTGATAGGGTGGTTCACGTTAATATCCACTTGGGCGTAGCGTTCAGTCTCGGTATCTCCCTGGAAACTTGACCACAACTGTTGATCTCAAGACAAATACCTTTAGCAAGCAGTCCCTTTTCCCAAAGTCATGGATTTGATGAGGAATGAAAGGTTTTCATCAGATGACATACAGGCTCGAAGACGCCGGCGCCGGCGACGTAAACATCAGGGACATCTCCGAACTCCTGCACAGCGGTACCCACGAGATTCTGGAGATCTTTCCAATCTGCCACATCGCATTTTTTAAAGACGGCGTTGGGAGACGTATCGACCAGGTCTTGCGCTTCAGCTGTCAACCTCAAATCGGCAACAACGACACGGGCCTCGAGATCCAGTGCCTGACGCACAAAGGCAAGGTTGATACCTGAACCACCGCCTGTGACAACGATGATTTTATTCGCGAGGGGAAAGGCACCAAAGCCAGTCATACTGTACTGTTGACCCTCGATATGTCTAGGAGGGGAAAAGCATATACCACGACGGACAATTGATAGTGCAGGAGAAGCTTCATCGGCATATTAAGTACTCACTTGGCCTAGCTACCTGTGTATATGAGAGCTTAACTGGCCCGGGAAATACCGACCCAACGGCTTGGCTCATAACACAGTGGTCCACATCGGATAATAGACAGACAATGTAGAATACAAACAATGTAATACTCGGCTCGGGAATATGTCATTCCCTAAAGGTTTCCCTCGACCTTCGAGCAGTTCTTCTTCTCTGGACATCGTCCTTCGCATTGGCAAGTCTATAGGACACCCACTTCTATAATTTGCTGGACGGTTTCGTTGAGCCTCTCTCGTCGAGGTACACAAACTGCTCGTACCACTTCAACGATTCAGGGTTGATGATAGTCGAGCTCGGAGTTATTTTTTGACCAGAGACTATTTTCTTCACGGGCAATTCGGTCTTCTTCCCATTCACAGTCATGGGAATCTCTGGCGTCTCGAAAACGAACCTGGGAACATGCCTTGGACTCAGATCCTTCCGGATATGAGCCTTGATGGCACTTTTCAGTCTCTCATCCAGCGAGTGTCCTTGATTCATCTTCAAGAACAGTAACACCTGTTCATCGTCGTCATGTGGTCTTCGCTGGCCGATACAGAGGCTTTCTTCGATCTCTGTGAAACCCGTCAGGCAGTTATAGATCTCAGCGCTTCCGAATCGAACACCTGTAAGACCCGTCAGAAGGCTCTGGAACTCAGGCACTTAATTGGTGGAAATAAGCCAAACCAGATGGATTGAGGACACCATCACTTCTACCCAGGAACTGGACGCCTTGGGTATGAGGGTCCATACGAATATAATCTCCTTGATGCCACACACCTAGAGGAAACATTTAGCTCTCTTGTGGCCGGGGATCGGAGTCTGACCAGGGTCGCACTTACCAGGAAACCTCTCAAAGTACGCCGAGCGGTAGCGTTCACCACTTTTATCCCCCCAAAAGAATGCCGGCTGGGATGGGAAGGGTGCAGTACACACAAGCTCGCCAGCTTCGCCGGTTGACTCAATTGCCTGACCGTCATCCGAGTAGATTTGTACTTTCATCCCCAGTGCTCGTGCCTGGCACCAGCCAGCATAAACTGGCAGACTCGGAGTACCGCCCACAACTGTTTGATCTCATGTTAATTAAAGAATTTAGAAACGTGAAGGGATTGTGAATCTTACAAGCTCCAGCAATGTCTGTGCCACCTGCAATACTGCTCAGCTGCACTGGTCCAAAGTTCTTGTAGACGTAGTAGTATTGTTGCTCCGTCAGGACCGATCCCGTGCTGGTGATGACCTTCAAGGCGTCTAGATTCGGCATGGCTTCTTTTCTGACATCGGCTTGTTCCAGGAGAGAGAGGTAGTGGGCACTGGTCCCGAAGTGAGTGACTCGGTGAGAAGAGAGGATGTTGAGAAATCCCAGCAGGCTTGGCTTCATGGGTGAACCATCATAGAGAATTGATCTCGCCCCACTGAGCAAACCTGAGATCGAGTAGAGATACATAATCCAGTTGGTCTGTTGAGCCCAGACGTCAGCGAAACGTAAACAACAGCTTCATGGATACGTGGACCCCTACCGTTGTGTATTGAAGGTAGACACTGGTGCTGTTCAAGTCGATGCTCAAGACTTGCTCAACCTTCTGTTTCAGCAGAATCCCCCCAAGAGTGTGGACAAGGCATTTAGGCTGCCCTGTGGTTCCTGAAGAGTATACGATGACCAGAGGGTGGGAGAATGCTAGTTGCGCAAACCCTAGCTGCTCAGACAACCCGGAAGTGAAAGTGTCGAGGCTCTGGAGCCCTCGATCAGGTCGATCTGGATACTTATCGCCGAAACGTGGCACAACGACAAGGGCCCCTAGAACTCCCTGCGTCTTCAGCCGAGTTGCCACTGTCCGTGCCTTGTCCAAGCAAGGGATTCGCTTCCCATTGTACAGAACCCAATCATCGGCAAACAAGATCCTAGGCTGCACCTGCAGGAAACGGTCCAGAATGCCCTTCTCACCTGTCTCGGGGGAACAACACGTGAAGATGGCACCGATCGATGCTGCTGCCAAAAAGATGGTAAAGGTGGAAATACTGTTGGAGGCAATGCAGGCCACACAGTCGGATTTTTTGATACCAGCTCGAGTCAGGCCATTTGCCAACCGTCCAACCCTGCCTCGCAGCTGGGAGAGCGTGACATTCTCGATTTCGCCGCCTCCTTCTCTGACACCAGTCAGGATGGGGATGTTCGACCCGGCCCCAGCTACGTAAGCCGTCTCAAGAATGTTCTGCGCAAAGTTAAGGCGTGCTTCTGGGAACCAAGTCGGTGTCGGATTCAGTCTCTTCACATCCGAAGACGCAATAGCATATGAGGGGTGAATCGATGCCTTGACGCGGGTAAATTCCCACACCAGCATCCAGAATTGGTTGAGAGATTCTGTTGACCATTTCCACAGATCATGATAGTCGGCTGAGATGCACAAAGGTAGAGTTTGTGTTAGCTAAGTTGATCTGGAGAGTGAAAACAGCTTGGACGTCGCCCTTACCAATATTCAGCTGATATCTATCGTTTGCAAGACGTCGAAATGCCTCGATGTTCGTGGAGGTAGGATCGGGGTGTTGCCAGACCTTCACCAATTGCCCCGACATTTTGTGAGATGACCGCCTCGCAGTATTGACTTACAGCTAAGGCCAAGTTGCATAAGCCATCCACACATCTGATGTGTTTTGAATTATGGCCACCCAAGGCGGAGTCTGACCTTGGAGACATAAGAAGTGTCGGCAGCGCGCCGTCTGCCTCGGGTACAGGAGGCTTTTTTGAACTAGCGATATCAGGTCGGGCCGAGTTTTGCCAAGGCCGTTGAAGCACAAAATACCGACTACGAGGTGGAGTAATATGGTGGAGAGGTTTAGAGAGGGGCGAGGGGAAGAAGTCACGGGGCTTAGTCTTTGCTTTCGCGGTCTGGGGCCACGGGGGTGGTTTAGGGCTTCGGGAATCACCGAGAGTAGGACCTAGTCCCGTTCCATATATGTCATAATCTCAAATGTATTGATATTATTCTCGGCACAGAGGCTTCTCAAGACTATATCACATGGAATAATGAAGCTCCAGCATCTACATGGAGGTTCACGCCTGTGATTCCCGAGGCCCGAAACCCAGACAAGAAGCAAACTGTTTCTGCAACCTCCTCGGGAAAGGTCAGCCGGTTCATAGGGCTCTGTGCTCTGGATCCGTCGTAGAAGTCTTCGCTCAGCCCTGCCCCGCCACCCATCAGCATCGGGGTCAGGGTGAATCCTGGAGAGACAGCGTTGATGCGAATGCCCTGAGGCGCATATTGCCGTGCATCTACCTTGGTCATGGATACCACGGCGTGCTTGACGCTGTTGTAGCACGACAATGTTGGCACAGACGCGGTACCAGAGAGGGAACAGGTATTGACGATCGAACCTCGAAATACACGTTGTTTGCGCTCGTCTCCCTGTGACCAGTCGAGGGGTTGTTGTTTCAGCATCTGCTGCACCTCGTACTTGGTGCAGAGGTATACCTGTTGAGGTCGTGTTAGTCTTTGACTTGTCATACTGCTCTCATAACGGTAAAATAACTACCCCTTTCTCGTTGACCCTGTATAGCTTCTCGTAGAGGGCGACATCGGTTTCGTGGGTTCTCGTCCCTCCCAACCCAATCCCTGCATTGTTGGCTGCAAAGTCCAGTCGACCGAACCTGCTCACGCACTCATCGACCATTCCTTTGACAGATTTGCTATCCGAGGCATCTGCGAGGTACAGCGCAACCTCTGTAGCACTTGATACCTTCTCGACCAATTCCTTGGTCTCTTGGAGACCTGCCTCGTTCAAATCGACGCAGAGGATCTTAGTGCAGCCTTGCTGGGCGAGCTTGATTGCAATCTGTTGACCCATCCCTAATAGAACGTTCAGCCTCAATCAGGCATTTCGACGCAATTTATATCTGCTCACCTGAAGCTGCGCCGGTCACCAAACCCACTCCCTTCTGGAGAATGGGGTCCATTTCAAAGGCAGTCAAGTATACACAGCTGAATATGCTACTGTGGGGGCAGCAGTTAGATGTACTTCGAGTCTCCTCAAACTATTTTAAAATTAGGGAACCGAGATACGGCTGGCCACATATCCTCAACTCCTGGATTGCTGGGTTTATGGTCAACCTGCCCTAGGTCGTCATGGTCCGGCCTCGGCCATGGGTCATGTTGACACTCGGTTGGCGCCGACCATGTGGTACACAGAGGAGATACAACGGGCCGAGGGTTTGTGGAGAGAATATAGAGAATTTTATTCTGAACAGCTTGCCAGCCTGACAAAAAGACCACTTTGCGCATCAGATATTACAGAGGGCCAGAATATAGCTAATATGGCTGGAACACTTGTAGGTGGCACAGCTATCGTAACCCGAGCTGGCTCTGGTGAGCATATTCCTTTTTAAAAACAATAGAGAGGACTTCTAACAGCCTTTCAGCTACAGGGAGAGCAATAGCACTTGCATTTGCTCGAGACGGATGCTCAAACCTAGCCATTGGCGATCAGGATAGCACATCGCTTGAAGAGACCGTCAGTCTTCTGCGAAAGCAATACAACACGCTCAATCTTCTACACAGCGAGGTCAACTTCAACAACGAGGCTTCTATTTCTCGTTTCATGCAGTCGATAGTCGACAAGTTCGGTCGAATCGACTTTGCAGCAAGTCTGGCTACGCATGAACCGCCTGCAACTGGTGCGCATGAAGTCGAGGAACGAGAGTTCGACCTGGCTTTTGAGAACAACCAGAAAAGTGTATGTTTGATTGATCGCTACTCAAATCCAGTTCTGTTTCCTTTCCATATGCCTTAACGACTGACATATATTCCTTGGTTCTGGGATGAAGATATTCTTCTGTTCGAAAGCGATCTTGGGTCATATGATCAAGCAAGAGCCGCTCGAGGGACAAATCACTCGTGGCAGTATCGTGAATGTCGCAAGCATCGCCTCAACTGCGGCTTTGCCGGGCATGCACGTGTATTCAGCAACCATGGGTGGTGTCTATGGCTTGAGCAAGACGGATGCCTATGACTACGCCACTGATAGAATTCGCGTCAATGTGGTTTCCCCGCTCATGTTCTCACAGCCGAGCCTTTCTGCGTTGCTCGATGAACATCCCTTTGGACGGTACACTCTACCAGAGGATGTTGCTAACGCTGTGGCGTTTCTCGTTGGGCCACGTGCTGATTTCATATCTGGTATCACTCTTCCCGTTGATGGTGGCTATCATTTGAAGACTGGAGGCCCCCCTAGATAGCTGTTCTTGTGCTCATATACGGGCAGACTGTCAAAGCTTGAAAGTACGGGGAGCTTGCATCAATGGTGATATATCAGCTTCCATCCAAGATAGGCTCGTCAACGGAGATTTACCTATATGGGATGAGGCCTTCAGCAATAACCAGAGGAGTGACAGACCTGATCGTTTACTGCCCATTGATGCCGTTTAATCTGGATATGTCCCTGTATTGGATCACCTGATTAGATTATCGAAGGACCAAAATCATCGAAGCAGCTAAAGAAGCGGAATGCGGCATTTTTTGGGTGTCGGTAGTCGCCGAATACTGACAAATCAGAAGCCGGACTGGCAGCATCCGTGAAAATACCAGATATCTTATCTGTAATGCCGTGTAGCTGTTGAGGCTCAAGCCTGCGACCAATTAATCTATTCCGCTCGAGGACGGTTCTGACATGTTGCTGTTTCGTGTTTCGAAACAGATACAATGAAGAACACCTGAGAAATTCTATGAGATATCTCGTCTCCGTATCGCCCGTGTCCTTTATGCCACCGAGATGGGGTTGTCCAAAAACTGAACGGGAACATCCACAAACTTGCTCCTCAGATACTCAGCCACTCCTTTGCCCAGCATGTCGATTCTGGTGCTACTGGCAGCACCTCCACCTAGAAAGTCAAGAAATCGGAAATGGACAGCCCAGATCTGAGGAAACTCGCACCTCTCGACTGTAGTGCCTTCCTTGAAGTCTTCTCCCATCAACTCGATGATTTTCGGGACGGTCAAGTATGACTGGAGCCACTTGTATTCGTTGGCACTCCGGACAAAGAAGCCGACGTTACAATTGTCTCCTTTATCTCCAGATCGCGCATGAGCTACAGAACCCAGAGGGAAAAATCGAGTCTCTCCAAATGTCTCGAGCGGCGTAGGGTTGTCGGTTTCCTTGCTAGGTCTCTTACCAGGCGGTGGTTCCGTGATGCCATGGTGTTGAATCGCAATCTCTTTGCCGTCGAATACCACTCGATGTGGTAAAGAAGTATAAGAAATAACCCCGGGGAAAAGCTCCATAAACATCTTGGGGGCCATGGTTCGGAAATCTAGTGACATATGATACCCTTTATCAAAGTGTCAGTAAAGGGGAATCAAAGGTGAGGGCAAGAGCTTCTAACCTGCGTAAAATTGCATTCGGAGTGCGTAGACGTGTTTTCGAAATACCTCTTCACTGATATCTTCGGCTTTCCGGCCTTTGACGAGCACCCGATAGCCAACAGTTCCCAGCGACTGGCGAGGTGGGTTGACAGCTGCAGACCCGTGGCGTTCAATGCTAAGTTCGGAGAAATTGGCGTTTCGGAAGGCATATTCTAATTGTTGGCGCATGAATCTCTCTTTGGCGTCGATGTCCAATCCGTTCATGTAGAAAGTAGCCTCAGCCTGGTAACCCCCAATGGCCACCACAATGGCTTTGGTCGTCGGTGGTGGCGGGCTTCCAACCGCACCCGAGATGCGAACGCGGTCTTTTTTGCCGGTGTTTTCAATTTTAACGTTTTCAATGTCGGCACAGACATCCGAGTTTATATACTTTGTGCCTTGGATCTCGTAGAGAAACTGTGCTCGTACATTCATCTCATCGACAAATCCTGCAGCTTCCGGGTGCTTTGTGATGACAACGGTGCCGTCGTGGGCAATTTCGGCGATGGGAAATCCCAGGTCCACAAGCCCATCTAGATATGGTCGCACTCCTGAGAAGTTTGCGCCCGTCACGTAGGGACCACATTCAATCAGGTCTAAGAAGTGGTCAGCGAGATATGAACGGAACAGAAGAGACGACAAACTTACGTCCCGCGATCAAGGCACCGGCTAATTGATCCCAAGCATCGTGCGGCCAGTCGTGCCACCAAGCAGCAAGCCCAATGACAGGACTAGCATCTGTGACACGGCCGCAAATGACGATATCTGCACCGCGTCGTAGAGCCTCAGCGATTCCCCATGCGCCGATATAAGCTACACCGCAGTAGGGTTTCCTATCCCAATCCTCTAATTTCCGTTCTGGGTGGTCGAGATGAACGATACCGCCGAGTTCTTGCTGTCTAGCTGGGTCGACAACGATTTCAGAGATGTCATCGCCTTGGACATATGCGACTTTCAGATGACCCTGCCCATGCTTCTGGCAGATCTCCATTGCTTTCTTCGCACATTCGGGTGTGTTGAGGGCTCCGGCGTTAGTCACGCATTTTATCTTCTTCTCCGCAATAATGTCGATACAGTCGTCCAGTTGTTCGAGGAAGCCAACCTCGTATCCCTTAGTGGGATCATTGTGCTTTCGAATGGCGTTCCAAGCAATGTTCAATTCGGAGAGCCAATCCCCAGCGATTGCATCCAAATAGCCTTCTGTCACCATGCGATGCCTAGCCTAGCCGTCAGTTATCCCAGGTGTCCTTTTCGTTGGCGGACTCGACTTACATGGCATAAGGGCAGTCTTCCATTGCGCCGGCCACATTGCCAATGATGATGGGCCGTCTCGGCTCCGTCGTCAATGCAGGAGCCATGTCTACTCACACTCAGCGAAGGATAATGTGGAAGAGAGAGAAAGCAAAAAGTTGAAATTTGAATGTCTGCTCAAGGCACAATCGCCGGCCACTTGGGCCGTTCTAGAGCACCTGAGTCTCTGTGCCATTCACTCGTACTCGGTGATCTGTCGCCGCAAAGTGGGAAGGCATGCCATATCCGAGCCTGGGAAGAGAGGGGTTTTTCGGTAAACGCCGAACAAGCCTATATTCGCTCCACAATCACGACGAAGATCGGTCTTCAAGTACCGACGCACTGGCTGACTGGAAGCCAGTTCGCCGTAGGTACGATATCGACTCTCCCACGCATTTCTGATTGTGTTCTGTTGTGACTGTAGTGTTTTGGACGGTCTATGGGATCTGCAATGACGGTGGCTTGCTTCAAGCTCTGCCAAGCCCAAGCTCCTCATCAGGACCGCAGCGATTGCTGCCAATTAGTATCTACGAACTACCTGGGCAGATAAAGTAGGCGGGAATGCTCCGAGGGTGTGCAAGCAGTTGAAATGTGAAAGTCACCGAGACCGTCTTTTCATTCATGGTGTACTTGCAGCCAAGTGGCCGTCCGAAATGCGTGGCCTGATAGCCCAAGTGCCTAGTCGCCTTGGATGGGGCACTACGTTCTAGGCGCACACGAGCCGCTAGTGCAGCCCACTGGCCTTAGCCAGGCTCGCACGCAGGCTGCCACGCGCCTAAACTATGGGCACCCAGAGGTGGGTGCACCCCCCCGGTCTACATTCCAATATTGAGCCATCTCCCGCTCTAACCTCATCCCCCTCCCCCGCCTGTCCACCCTCCCGCCCACAAATTGCCACGGCGGATTCTTCGCTGTTTGCGATCGGCCTGCGTCCGAGTATTTGGGAGCGTGTGCCCCGGCCTTCTCCAGTCTTCTCTTCCTCCTCTCTTGATCCCCTTTGGTTTCCTCCATTCTCTGACCATTGAATTCTTGGTCGTGCTCAACGCATAACCCCGCAGATCCCCCCGTGACATCCTGTACCCCGGCCACCCTCCCCAGTCCCCCCCAAAATGCAGGCTTGTGACCGATGTCACCTACGCAAAACGAGATGTGACCGCCGTA